TTATGAGTATGTTGAATATAAATGGACACAATACTCCGATTTTAATAAAATGCTACTATAGAAAGAAACATTAATGATCAGAAGACACAGTCTCTATATAAAAAGATGAAGATTTATTTATATTTAAGGATAGAAATTATATAAATATAAATGTAAGTGTAACATTGATAAGGCTGTGGTGACGGTCAAAAGGCACTAAACTGATAAAGAAGTACATTCCATGTTTTAGGGACTCCAGCTGAACGTACATTAAGCCTTTCAATGTCCACAGACCACTGATGGACCACTGGTAGTTTTATTTCTTATTTTCCTATTTGTTCCAAATCCAGCAATATTTAATTTACTGCTAAACCCCTATTTTTTTATTTCATCTCTAAAAGACAATTTTGGGGCTTTTATAATTTCTTCTTTCACTAACTATGAACCTATGGGGTTTAGTCCTAAAAAAACTGTCTTTTTCTGTACTGATATCTTTAACTCCAGTAAACATTGTTTCTAGTTTAAATAATAAACTCTTGTTTAAATTCTCAGTTGATTTTTGTTCTTTGTTTCATCCTGACATGAAGATCCTTCAACTTGGATTACTTCCTTCCTGCTTGAAGGACAGTAGTTTGTTTGTCTGGGTGACAAATGCTATGTTGACTGTATATTTGCTTGCTTAGGAATGTGCTTTCTTGCTTATTTGAGAGATAGTTTTCATTTATGTTTTTTATCTAATATCCAATTCACTAACTCTTTTCTCTAATCAATTTACTGTAAAATGAGTTCTCTGAGTTCGTTGATGTTTGTCATATTTATTTTCATTTTTAAAAGTTCTATTTGGATAGCTTACTATTTTTTTATTTCAACTTTTATAATTGCACATTCCCACACTATTTTCCAACTCATTAACCTGTCTCTAACAAAAATAAATGTAGATTTTTAAAAAACTGAGCTTAGGCTTTTAATGTTTCATTTTACTTTAAAAGCTCTATAGCATGCCCATAGTATTTATAAAATTATATTGTTTTAAAAGCATTTTCAAGGTTTTAGTTTTATGCTACTGATCTCATAAATTTTCATTCTGTACTGACTTTTGATATTCATTTTGTTTACTTATTTTTTGACTGACACATAATATGTGCACATATCTATGAGGTACAATGTGATGCTTTGATTATGTAAAGTTTTCTTCTGAAAATATCCACATCTATTTAAATGCACAGATTGATTTCTGCTTTTTTTTTCCTTCAGTCTCCTCCAACTCCTCGGCTCTTCTTTGCTCTTTATGTCCATCAACCTTGAAATTCTACTGACAAATCATTGGTTCAATGTCCTCAAGGTCTAGGAGGCAGGTGACTTCCTCCAAAGAGGATCATATTTAGCTTCAGCCAAATGCCTGGAGGACTTCAAGATCAAGTTCTTAATTTGGTGTCTGTGGTACCAGTTTAAGTGAGGCCAATCCACGGCTGGAGCTGTGCAGGGGTCTTCCTCCTCCATCCTGTTCTCTCCCATCTCCATTTGCATTTGCTTTTACTTAAACCAAGGTAATATTCTCTTCTCACTTTGCTGGGGTTTAAAGAAGTCAGAAGAAAACTTAATTCTGCTTCTTTCTTATCCTACCTGGTGTTCAAAGTGTTGTGGGTGTTTCCTTCACATTTTGAGTAGTTTCTAGGTCTTGACCGTCTTGCTGCCCTATGAAGCCAACCGTGGTTGCTCATATGCAGACATATTAGAAATGTCCCCCAGGAAGAAAAGCAGCCTCTAGAGTAATTTTGTTTTTTTTTTCCTTTCATTTTCACTTCTCTAGGATCACGTTTTCATTCACACCACAAACAAATATCAACTCAAATTGATATTAAAGACATAAACAAAAATCCTGGATATTTAAAACTCTTGGTGAGGGGAAACTTAGAGGGAAGGTTGAACTACGTTGGTGTGGGCAATCAACTCTTGGATACAACCCCAAAAGCATGAGCAACAAAAGCAAAAATATACAAAAGAGGTTGCATTGAACTAAAAAAGCGGCCACACGGCAAAGGAAACAATAGGGTGAAAACCCCACAGATTGGGAGAAAATGTTCGCAAATCATGCATCTGATAATAAGCTCATATCAAAAATATCTAAGGAAGTCAAACAACTTAATAGTAAGAAAAAACAACCAATTTTTAAAATGTCCCTGGATACATATTTCATAAAAGAAGACATAAATGTCCAATAGGTATGTGAAAAAATGTCCAACATCACTAATCCTCAGAGAAATGGACGTTAAAAGCACAATGAGATATCCCCTCAGACCGATTAGAAGAAATGTTGTCAAAAAGATGAGAGATACGTGTTGGCAAAGATACATAGGAAAGGGAACACTGGTAGACTGTTGATGGTAATTAGTACAGCCACTGTGGGTAACGTGATGGCGGTTCCTCAATTAAGAATAAGGGCTGGGGTTGTGGCTCAATGGTAGAGGGCTTGCCTTGCACATGTGAGGCACTGGGTTTGTCCTCAGCACCACATACAAATAAATAAATAAAGATGTTATATCCATCTACAACTTAAAATTATTTTTAAAACATTGTTTTAAAAAATTAAGAATAGCACTACCATCTGATTTAGCAATTCCACTTCTGAGTATATATACAAAGTATTTGAAAGCATCAGTACATGACCTATACTTCCCTGTTCCTTGTAGCATGATCCACAGTGGCGGACCTAGGTATCCACGATGGGTGAATGGGTATAAAAAATGTGGATACACACAAAATGGAACACTAGTCTGCCTTCAAAAAGAAGGAAATCTGTCATTTGTGTCAATGCAGATGAAGTTGGAGGACATACACTAAGTCAACCAGCCAGGCACAGAAAGACAAACACTCCACCATCTCACTTGTAAATGAAATCTAAAATGTTCAACTCACGACAGTAAAGAACAGAAAGGTGGTTCCAGGAGGCTGGAGGTGGGGAAAGAGAAGATGTGGGTCAAAGGATAAAAGCTTTAGTCAGACAGCAGGAATAAGTTTCAGGGGCCAGTTGCTAGTTAGACAACCTGCCATTGCTGTGGGGACATACCTGAGACAATCAACTTGAAGACGGGAAAATGTATTTTAACTCACAATTTCAGAGATTTCAGTCCTTAGTTTCTGTTGCTTTGGGCCTGAGATGAGGCAGAATATCATGGCAAAAGGGTGTGGTGGAGGAAATTTACTCACCTTAAGGCAGCCAGGGAGCAGGGAGAGAAAGAGGAAAATATATCCTTTAAAGGCACCCTCTGTGATCCACCTCTCTCCAGTTTCCACCACCTCCCAATAGCACCACCAGCTGGGACCAAGCCTTCAACATTGAGCCTTGGGTTCACTCAAGAACCAAACTATAACAATTGGCTAGCATAGTTACTATAGTTAATAATAAAGTATGTTTCAAAAATGCTCAAGAGTTGATTTTTACATGTTCTCATCACAAAAAAATATGTGAGATGATGATGATGGTTAATTTACTTGATTTAGTAATTCCACAGTGTATAAATATATGGAAATGTTACATTGTATCGCATAAATATATGCAATTAGGATTTGTCATTTAACAAAAGCCTCTTGAACTTAACCCAGGGACAATATGTCAGGAAATAAAAGACTCCAACATTACATATGTTAGAAATGTTTCAACTCAGTGATTCATTTCCCTCATAACTGAAAAATACAAAAACGAAACACAAGTAGTTTTTATTTTATATTTGCTATACAGTTGAATGTGTCTTATGAACCGAATAAGTCCCACCAAAATGAATAAGTGGAATCTCTTTGTAAAGAGCATAAGTAAAATTCAACCAGAAATGCAGAAAATGAAAAATAAACTGGGCATTTATCTATGTATTATTGTAGAGTTAGCTTTGACTTGCTAATAAGGTAGAGATACCTATTCATCTACCTAATCCATTAACATCTGATTATTTGATATAGATTGAGATTAGGTATCATTCTATACTTCCACCTTAATAGCAGTGTGACACTAACACTATAGTAAGAAAAATGCCAGCCATTTTTAGAGGGAAAGCCTGATTCCAGAGAAGTAAGAAAGAAATTAAGCCAGAGAGTCTGCCTGTTTCTCCCCAAGGACATTTTCCAATATAGACCCACAATGAGCAACCCTCAGTCTGTTTCTGTTTCTACCTGTACCTCTGCCTCTGCTTCTGCCTCTGTCTCTCCCTCTCTCTGAGGCTCGCTGACTGGTGACTAAAACTCTTTCCTCTTTATCTTAGTTCCATATGCAAACTCCACTTTGGAGTAATAGGGACCATGCCCCTAATTGACTTCTGGCCCATGTGACACAGGCCATAGAATGTGAGCCACTCCCAAAACTTTGCTCACAGATTTCTCCTGGGTATTGCTATCTATGCTCTTTTCTCTTTTGCTCCTTTGAACTTGGAGACCTTCAAAGCACATGTGGAAGAAGACTCCCTCTCACACGAAGTCGGCATCTTGGTTCTCCCACCTCTTGGAAGAGCTTCACCCTTTGTTGAGAAACACCTGTAGGTTTCAGGTGCACATGGCATTCAGCCACTGGAATCTGGATGCATCCCTTGTGTTTTCTGCTGTCCCCTTTTCTAATACAGTGTTTCAGATTATCCCCATGTTTCTAGAAAAGGAATGGTCAAAATTAGCCCTCTCTCACTGGAAAGATAAAGTTACAGCAGGGCCAACAGGTTTCACAGAGCCTATGTATAAATAATTTAAAGGAGGAAGGTGTAAAAAGTAAGGTCTCCAGACACATAAAAACTCTTTAAAAGGGTGAAATGCAACGAGATCGCATGGGTTGTGTGCACTGAGTACATTTCCTAAGACATTTGTATTGGGGTTCATGGGCCCTAGTCTGGGTAGTCTAAGAAGGACCTTGATGGTGAAAACGGTGTTTCTTGAATTATTCAATTTTCTGATTTTGACGGTACAAGGCCCAGCTCTAATGAGGGTAAAGATGCCTTATCTTATACAATTATATTTCTCAGATGCTGGAAGAAATAAATACAAAATTTCAAGATCTGGAAACTAGGTTTATTCTTTTCAGGTGGAAGAATCACACAAGGCTCAGAGTTTTAGGAGGTAATCAGAAAACCTGAGAAATAGATAATGATTTCTGCTTGATTTGGTTCCTCTGTTTCAACATCTGCTTCTAGCCACACCTTGTCCCCCTGTCTCAGGGGCATAATCATGGCACCAGAAACGTTTTCATATTCTTCTTTAGAGAGCTGACGCTTTTCTATGACTTGGGCTTGGTTCTTCATCAACCCAATCTTCACCTTGCAGTGGTGAAGCTCAACATCAAAGCTGAAATGGTAATTTCCAGGTTTCCTGCAGTTAAAGATTCCCGACGTCTCGTTCAAGTCCATTTGATCATTGTACAGGACCTCTGTGAAGACAACAGGCTTGGAAGGTGGAGGGAGCCTTCCACTGAGCTTCACAGTGAAGGCTGACCTCTCTTTGCAGCGGCATTTTACATTGTACCCTTTAGGTCCTGGGTGTCCTGGTATACCCACAATGCCTAGGAAGAACACAGAACCATCTGTGAGAAGCTGATGCCTTTGTGGGAGCATGTACCCTCCCAGGAATGCACTCAGGGTGTCAGGAGTTCACTTGCTGAATTTGAGAAACATTTCTCTCCAGATTCTGTACATATCCCAATATTTCAGAGTTGCAACCCCTGTTGTAGTTTCCACCAATGCTAACAGAGCTCTCAGGGCAAGGTTATAGAGAAAGCAATACTTGCTCCATTTTCCCTAACATTCCTGGATCTCTATGTTTTCCCCTCCCTGGAGCAGACATTCCAAGGGTTCTATGCCACACTGGATGGTACTGAGCACCCCAGCACGATTTTGACTTGGCACAATGTGGCCTGTCTGAAGCTCAGAAACTCAGTTTACTACCCATTAGATCTTCTTTGACTTTCATCTGAGCAAGTTATGCATCAATCAAAATTATTGTACTAGTTTACACCAACTCTTATGGGGATTAAGTTTCTCCCTTGGCTAAGAGGGTGAACTTCAGGCTTATACAAGAAATAAGTAGAGCGGTCTGGGGTTGTAGCTCAGTGGTAGAGTGCTTGCCTTGCACACGTGAGGCACTGGGTTCCATCCTCAGCACCACATAAAAATAAATAAAGAAAACAAAGACATTGTGTCCATCCATAAGTTAAAAAAATATATATATATGTATGAATTATGTAGAGGTAATATTTTATCACTTATTAACAGTATTTTTCTACTCAAGTTCCTTAACAATTTTAAAGATCTCTTTCCTCAACTATGCAGCAACCCTTAATAGTGCTCTTTTAATTGTTCCTGAATTAGTTAGCATTCCATGTTATATTCGCTGTTGTTATTACTACTATTGGTCTCTAAGTTGGGACTATGATCTTTGTCCCCTAAAAAATCTTAGGAAAATGTGATAATAAAAGAATGATGACATTTTTCTATGATTTCTACTCCTGTGGGTCTGCATTTACTTGATGACACTAACCTTGAATTTAAGAGGTTGAATCTTTTTCTCTGAGGACAAGTAAACCATGGGATCACAAAACCTGAGTCCCTTTGATCCTAGAATATGGACCCATGGATGCTCAGTGATGATGATAGCTGTATAAGAAACTTTTCAAAATGCATGGGATTGTCTCCGAGGGACCCTTTTGGCAATCTCATTTAGATGCCAGCAGCAATGCACGAAGCCTCCTTGCTGTGCACAGTACTAGAGCCTCAGCGTGCATCAGAATCACGTGGGGTCTTGCTCCAACATAGGTTGCCCACCAGGGACTTTCTCAGAGGAGACCTGGGGTGGAGACTAAAATTTGATTTTATAAGGGAATTTCAGGTGCTGCTGCTGCTGGTCGGAAGACAATCCTTGGAGAATTGTGTCCCTACCTGGCAAAGGCAAGAAGCACACTAGGAATCTGGTGCAGCCCGTGAGTAGGATCTAGGGTGCATCTAGAACCCAAGGGTATACAGGGCTTACTGGGCACCAACTCCCCCAATAATGCATGGACTTGGCTCAGACATTGCTATAATCAAATGTACATCGTCTCACAAGCATGCTGTGCTACTCAGCCCTTGGGAGCCCTTTCTCTCCCCTTAACTAGAAAAGCTATCCTGATCCATGCTTCCACCTCTGCAAATATGAATCTTCTTGGTAGCTCCTCTACCTTGACTTACCCTTCTGGAGCAGCATGGCCTTCAATCACCACCTGAGCCTGGAACTGGGCCAGATTCCTTAGTCTTCATAAGATCTGTGATTTGGCTAATGAGCATTGTGCCAAAGAAGCCCTATCTGAAACTAATGCTGGACCTCAATTTCTTTCTCTCCATTCTTTCTATTTTTTTACTTGCTACTAATAATCCTATGAAAACCATGACATTTCACCCAAAGGTTGAGAGGGAAGGAAAATTAAGGAACAGAAGAAAAGACTTTCTTACCTGTGGGACCTTGGAAACCAGGGGGCCCCATCAATCCAGGAACCCCTGGATATCCCGGAGGTCCTGGAGGTCCATAGCAGTCGACATTGAGGACATTCACCAGGAGAACAGATATGGCCAATCTCCACACATCTAGAACAAGAAGCAAAGAAGAATTATTCACTAACAATCTGTGTGGGTAGAATTAAAGCTGTGTCAATCAAAATAACTTCATACATGTTTGGATTCAAATGAGAGCTATACCTCTTATCAGTTTATGTTAAACCCTACATTGTAGCTGGCCCTTTTTGTTAACTTCTTTATCATGAATCACCACCCTGGAATTCAGTTATGACTATATTCAAGATTGTTAATCTCTGTTCTTATGCATATCTTTGTCAGATAATAAATACTTAAGAAATAGTGTTGAACTGTCGAGTGAATAATCATTAATACAGGTTACTAGTTATTGCTTATCTTGCTCAGAATACAATGCTAGAAACATTATTTCATCGAATTTTTATTAAAGTTTGGTAAGAGATGAGCTCTTAACCTATAGTTAAAGATAAGGAAGCTGAGATCCCCAGATTTATAGTTATCAATGCCAAACAAGAAAACCAGAAAGAACAAGAGGTAGGATTTGAATCCTAGTCTCAGTCCAGCCATTATTCCAGTGAATTTTAAGTGAATTAATGTGTATACGTGATCCTGCTTCTTGACATCTCAAGATGCTGAGTTAGAGGTTTTTAAAATTTGCTTGTCTTTGTTTTGTCCTTTACTTTTCTCAAACAAACCTTGTGTTTAAACAGGGAATATAAAGCAGAGTGGACTATCATTTACTCCCATGATTTCCTGTTTCTCAGATCAGCAGCCCCCAAAATAATGTGTAGAGAATAATAGGGTTATCAACATTATCCACATTGGAGTTTTCGGTCCCTAGTAAGACTGGCCATTTCCAATCCATCTCCTTCCAAGGACTGGAAGATTGGATAACACCCTCCCACCACTTGCATCACAACCCTACTGTCCCTACCGGTCATTCTCAGGCAGAAAGGCCGAGTTCTCTTGGTGGGCTTCTTCCAGTATAAAAGGTTCCTAGCTCAGGAGCCTGAGGCTTGGGTCCCTGTGAGGGCTTCCCTGTAGCAAGGACTCTTAAAATGTTCTGCAATCATTTCTTCAATATTGAAATAATTTTGAAGGTCCAACCTGGGTCCACAGCAAGGTTAATGATTAACCCAAAGCAGGACCTTTCCAGAAGGTAACTCTTGATCAACCCCAGACTTCCCATCTGGAATGACTGTAATGAAAAATAGCTGTGATAGGTAAAACCCAGCCTCCAAGGATAGATGATAGCAGTTAGAACCCATTCAAGAGACCCACTGACAATATATGGTATTCTTGACAGCTGTGGAGAGTGGACTTTATAGTTCTCACCACAAAAATAATCACGAGTGGTAACATAGGTTTTTTTGTTCTGTTTATTTGATGTTATTTTGGTGCTCTAGATGGAATCCAGAGTCTCATACAATGCTACGCTCTGCCACTGAGCCATGTTCTCAGCCTCAATTGATTTGTTCACTAGTTATACATAACCCTCACTCAGTGTATGTTTACTTCAAAACATATTATACACAACATATACAATACACACAATATGGACTGTCATTTTTTAAAATTAAAATGATAGAATGTGTCTTTCCTTGCTTTCCTACTATTTTTTGAGTACTTATTCACTACATCTAAGCTCAGTCCCAGGGCTGTGAAACCATTTCCCTGGATAAGAAATCTTTATAGACAGAAGAACTTCTCTGGGCTCATTGGTAAATCATTGTTGGACAAGCCACCACCATTATTTGAAGGCCAATGTGTGATACATATAAATTGTGTTGTTCAAATAAGAACATCACACAAGAAGAATGTCTTCTCAGCTGTTATTATTCCTCATATGTCATCTCTTTAGGTCCTTATTACATTATTATAAGAAAAACACTACTATGACTTGGTGACCTAAAGCTGGCTGTCCTTGGTTGCAAATCCATTGTGCAGTACAAAACATGACCCTGTTCTCAAGGTCATCATCCACTCATTAGTAGACAAATCCAGAGGCTTAGATCAGTCTCAGGTTCAACCTCATTGACAACACGACCCATGGTATTATTATGTCCCTCTCTATGACATTAGCAGGTGCTGATGCTAGATGCCTACCATCATTAAATTGCTGTTTTAAAATAGTGATATTCTAATTCTATAAATTCTTTTCCATGAGTTAGTTGTAACATTTTGATAAAGAGACTTTATGTCTCATCTACTATTATTTCTACCCAGGGGTAAAATTCATACAAGAAACTTAGAACAAATGGTTGTTTTTTCCCTCTCTTATTTGCCAGTTTCATTGATTTCCTTTCATCCTCCAAAGCTCAGATTAATTCAGTAAATTCCTAGAAGCATAATTGTTGGATTGCGTAGTTGAGATTATGTTTTGTTTTATAAATGCCAAATTGCTCCCAAATTAGGTGTCATTGCATTTCACCAGCAATGAATGACAATTATTTTGCTCTGCATCCTTGGCAGAAATTGAACTATTGTTTTATTTTATCTATTCTTTTTTTTAAAAAATATATCTTTATTTATTATTATGTGATGCTGAGGTTTGAACCTAGTGCCTCACATGTGGTAGGCAAGTGCTCTATCCCTGAGCTACAACTCCAGCCCTGATTTTAGCTTTTCTGATAAGTATATAGTCACTGGTAATTTAATTTACAATCCCTTCTGGCCAATGCTGTTGGACATCTCAATATATGATTAGGTACCATCTCCACAACTTCTTTGGTGGAATGTGTATTCAGGTATGTTGCTCATGTTTTCAGGAGGTTGTTTATTTTCTTGTGGCATTATTATTTCCTTGTATATTTTGTCAGACGTGGTTTTGCAATATTTTCTTTCCATCTTTCAAGGGTCAAGGTTCAGTGGACTTTTGATTCTTTAAAAAGCATCATTTATGATTTTGGTATTATATTTTAAATTTTGCTACCAAACCAAAGTCACTTAGATTGTCTCCTATATTTTCTTCTAGAATTTTCTAATTGTGTGTTTCTTGTAATGCATTATAGTAATTTTTTTGTGAAAAGTGTAGGGTCCGTGTTAAGTTTGTGTCCTACATAAAACACCCAATTATTCTAGCAGTTTGCTGAATTGCCGTAGCTTTGTCAAGGTAAGTTGGCTGTTTTATGTGGATCCATTTCTGCACTTTCTATTCTGTTAATAAGTATGTGTTTCCTTCTGTAGGTACTTTACTATGCTCTTTACTGTAGCTTTATATTAAGTCCTAAAATCTGGGAACCTGTGTCCTCCTACTTTGCTCTTCTTCTTAGTGTTGTGTTGACCACTCTAGCTCATTCAAGTTCCCATGTACATTTTAGTTCCATTTGTTAATATCCATAAAATAGTTGCTGATTCATTAGTTATATTTTAAGTTGGTATTGCATTGAATTTATGTATCCAGTTAGAAAAAATTATCTTCACCACATTGAGTCTACCAACCTACAAGCTTAAAATATATCTTCTTAGATTCTTTTATTGGAATTTCATTTTATAGTTTTCCTTGGATACACCACATACAAATTTTGTTAGCTTTGTACTTGAATATCTCATTTTTGGTGCCATCGTTAAATTTAAAAAAAAATCCACTTCCAATTGTTCTTTGCTAGTACAAAGGAGAGCCATTGACGTTGCATGTTACTCTGTGTCATGCAATCCTTCTGTACTCACTGGTTCCAGAAATTTTGTGGGAGTATTTTTATTTATTTTGGGGGAAACTCCTACATCACTATCAGCACATCTGTGAACAAAGGCAATTTTCTTTCTTCCTTCCCAATCTCTATTTCTTTTCTTGTCTTATTGAACCAGGTAGGCCTTCTGCACAATGTTGAATAGGACTGGTGAAAAGCAATCTTCTTTCCTGATTGCCAACCCGAGGAAAAGAGCATACTCAGGTTTTCACCAGTGAATCTAAATATTAGCTGAAGCTTTTACCTTCGTAGTTTTTATTATCAAATTGGATCAGCTCCCTACTATTCCTGGTTTTGCTCAGATGCTTTGTTGACCCAGAACGATGGGAGCAAGGTCCACTGGATGAGCTGAAACAGTGACCACGAAAGGGTCAAGGTTCATGTATTAGGAGGCAGAGCCTTGACCACCCACGTAAAGGGTGGTCGCTTGTGAATGCCAACTGCTGCAACTTTCCTCTAGTTAAAATTCAACTAGGACACCTCAGGAAAGACCAAGACCAAGTATTCAGAGAATTCATTTCATCAAATCATCCTTCAGTAAATCAAGCTTCAAAATCAAACCAAGTGAGATAAAGGGACTAAAGAGGTGAGCAGCCCACTTTCAGTAGGCTTCTTCCCACGCTGTCTGAATGCCTCAGCAAAGAGGAGGAGCTCTCTCCAGGAGAGCTGCCGGTAAGTGCGTTCACCACTCCTAATTATGATAACGAGATATTACAATTCATTACTGCTTTGCATTGCCCAATCTCTTGCTTTCCATGCAAAAATATTTTTTCGCTGAATTAAATCTGGGAGATCAAATGCCCATAACTCTGTCAAAGGTGCAGGTTTTCTTTCTGCCTTAGCCCTGGTGAAAATGGGTAAAAATGAAACTCATTATTTAATTAACTCTCAAATTTATATGGAGGAATTATGTCAGGCCCACGATGAAACCATCCTATATGCATGCTTTTGGAATATATGTTCAACGTTCATACTTGATGCTCATACTCAAAACCAGGAGCATAGTCCTCAGGCTATGAGGAAAACTCTTTACCTTTCTCTATTTTCATCAATTCTGCCCAGATTTTTCATCTCTGTCCAGCTGAGTGTTCCTGTGCCTCATCCTGCGTGGAATGGTTTGTATGTTTATATCTCCATTAAATAATTGCCACGTCTCCCTCACACACATCTTATCGCCACCTTGCACCTGTTCTCTCTTTTACTACCCTCATTATTTTACTGACTGTGATAAGATATTACAGTTCATTATTCATTACATTTATTTACCATCACAATGATCCCTTCCACACCATGATTCGGACCAAAGCAAGTCACATAAGTAACCTCCAAGTTGAGGGACAGAGAAGGACTCTGATCAAGATGAGGCTATGGAATGGGTGTGGATGGAAGGAAAGGTGGAGAACTGTAGTCAAGAATTCCCTCTGCCACAGAGAATTAGCAGGCTCTGGCAGGTCAGCACCCAAATGAAAATGCCCTCTACTGTTTAATTAATCAGTAGAAACAATACAGAAGTAAATAAATGCATATTCTTTCAAAGATGTCGGGGAAGTTTTCTTAGAATGAGTGACATTGAAACAGGATTCGACAAAATAAAAACTTTTTTTTTTTTTTTTTGGAATCAGGGAGCTGTGAAGTCAAGGTATAGGGGAGGTATACAGATAATTCTCTTCTGTAGTGTTTCCAGAAACCCTAAAGCCTAAGTAAGAAAACCCTATATATCTTATCATAATGGCCAACACCAATTATTACAATGTGGCGGCTAGAAATGATTTCCTGACTAACAGAAGCAGGAATTGGAACAATCAACATTGGATTTCTATAGGAAAGATCAGGCTTGATTGTGCGCCATCTAGAGGGCATCTGGAGAGGGTGCAGCAGTCTAGGATGATACCCAGAGTTGATGTCATAGGAAGGAGCACATGGGATTGGGAGAGTTTGTGTCTCTGACAGTATTAGGAACACAGTCTCTCAAGAACAATGGCATTTTCCTCCAATCTGTGTGAACTTTTTCCTGTAATCCTCTGCTCTAGGCGTCTGGATTTTGGTCATGGCTCTCACAGCTGCCCTGGCTGATTTCGACAATAAAGGAAACTCTGAACCCTGTGGACCTCAAGGTCCCCCAGGCCCTCCAGGCATCCCAGGCTTTCCAGGCCCTCGAGGACCACCTGGTCCAATGGGTGAGCTTATTTCCCTGTGACTTCCTTCCCCTTTGGTTGTAGTGTTTGTTGACCCATATGAGTTCCCCAGTGAGGCTGGCAATCAATATTATTGAAGCAGGTGTTTCTTTTCAATGACTCTGGGCTGTTCCTCAACTCTTGATTGTCCATCAGAATGTCAAAACCTCAGCCTGTAGCTACAGAATCAGAAGTTCGGGAATAGATGCAAATAGTCTAAGTTCCTCAGAGGTTCCTCCCAGGATATTTGATGTACCACTGGGTCAGAGACCCCGACTATAGCTCCGGTTGGTCTCCACACATGACATGGTAGGGTATTTTTGTTTGCTTTTTCTTTGCCATGACCAAAGACCCCCACAAGAACAATTTAGATGAAGAAAATTTTATTTCAGCTCATAGTTTCAAAGGTCTCAGTCCATAGATGTCCAACTCCATAGCTCTGAACCTGAAGGAAGGCAGAATATCATGATGAAGGATGCAGCAGAGGATAGCAGCATAGGACATGACAACAGGAAGCAGAGAGAGAGAGAGAGAGAGAGAGAGAGAGAGAGAGAGCTCTCCGCAGTGTGACTACCACCTCCAGCCACCTACCTGCCTACTGTTACAGCCCAGTAATCCATGTCACTGGATTAATGCACTGATTGGGTTAAGCCTCTCATAACCCATCATTTAATCTCTAAACTTCCTTGCATTGTCTCACACATGAGCTCTGGGGAGGCCACCTCATATCTTAAGCATAACAAAGGAGCAAGAACAAAAGCATGCGTTAGCTGGATACAGTGGTGCACATCTGTAATCCCAGCAGCTTGGGAGGATGAGGCAGGAGGATCACAAGTTCAAAGCCAGCCTCAGCAATTTAGCAAGACCCTATCTCAAAACAAAATATAAAAAAGGCTGGGGGTATTGCTCAGTGGTTAAATGCCCTGAGTTCATTCCTGGTAACCCACCAAAATGCGTTAAATTCGCTGGGTATATAAAAACTTGGAAGAAGGGCGAGGAGCCTGCATTCACCCTAAACATCCCCATTCTGCTGAAAAGCAAGTCGGGCAGGAAGAGGTTGCTTGCACTTCAAAAAGTCCAAGAGAGGGACTCTACTTGCAGATTACTGTTTATAGTAGATTAAAATTTCTGCTTTGTAAGGGAAAAATCAGGCAAATACAGACATTGTGAATATTTCAATCAGCTACACAGTTCGACTCTGTAACAAGAGGTGCTTGCCAGCTAGAGAACTGTGATGGTGAAGCTGGAGCTTAGTGAGAATTCACAAACCCACGTTGTAGCACTGAGCTAGAGAACCAGTGTGTATCACTAGTTAACTTTTAAGCTGGAATTGGCAAAATGAAATTTTAAATTGAGATCAAATTGATTCCCGTGGTAGGAAAAAAATCTTACAATTGCACACATGTGCGAGCGCGCACACACACACACACACACACACACACACGGGTGCATGCAGCCACAACACCTACATGCAATCATGACATGAAAAATAACTCACTGTAAGCATTTAAAGGCAAAATCTACATTGCTAACTTAGAAGGAATGGTATCAGGTTGGGCCCAATAAATTTACAAAGTGTATCATAGAAAACATGCATATATACTTGCTTTGTTTATCAATTTTAAGTTCAATCATGTATTGAGGGAAATAACTTTACATTCTTTTTTTAAACCAGGACTGAAAGGGGTACTTCACCACTGAGCCACATCCCCAGTCCTTTTTATTTTTTTATTTAGGCCTCACTAAATTGCTGAGGATCTTGCTAAGTTGCCAAGGCTGTCCTTGAACTTGTGATCCTCCTGCCTCAGCTTCCTGAGTTACTAGAATTACAGGCATGTACCACAGCACCTAGTCATAACTATATACTCTTACAAAATACTATTGATTGCAATCACATAATTAACTTGATAAACCAAGATAACTTGGAAAAATTAGCTTTAAAAAACCCTTTGAATAACACTCTTATGGACAAACTCTTACAAATATTGTTATTGTAATGCTCATTGTGGCTGCACATATTTTATATTAGAGTCATAATGATTCCTAAAACATCAGAGGCAGGATGGGGCATGGAAAGACCAATTGTTTGGGATTCGGAGATTTCCATTTGACTCTGAGCACTATCTCTGAAAACTGAACAACTTGAGGGACAAGTTGACCCTTGGGGCAGCAATTTGTGTCAGACTGGCTCATGTACATCACTAACCATGCAAGTATCCACAGATAGAGATGTACAAGAAATTGTATATTCATCAGTGAGGTTTGGGAGTCACCCAGGACTATGGCATTCCTGAGTTTCTGTGCCATCGACCTGTGGCTTTTAACCATGGAACAATATAATTTCTTCTCTGCTTCAATTCCCAAAGAAAGTGATTTTTAGTTACAAGGTTTGTAGTAAAGAAAATATGTGCTTCTGCCTGAAAGATATGTTAGATATAATTCAAGCATTTATTCCTTCAGAAAACATATCTTGAGTGTTACCTACAAGCTGGATACTTTAATAAGGTACAGCCCTAGTGCAGGCACAGGCATTGAGGAGGGATGGCGATTTAGTGTGGTAAAGGCATGATCAACATAACACAGGGTGTCACTGCTCTAGAGCGCGGAGGACAGGATGTTTCTAAATCTGTGGTAGGAGAGAAAACTTCCAGTTAAGGGTTTAAGTTCAATCTTAAGGATAAGTAGGATGGAACAAAAATTGGTGGATGGGAGACAGAGAAATATATTGATCATCAAGGGCACAAGTTCAAAACTGCCTCTTCCCTCTATCTGCACGTCTTGGACTACAGGACCTCCAGGTTTACCAGGACTGCATGGATTACAAGGTCCTCCTGGAGACGTTGAGAAGTGTCCATCGCCACCAAAATCTGCCTTTGCTGTGAAGCTGAGTGAGCGTCCCCCAGAGCCCTTCCAGCCCATTGTATTCAAAGAGTCTCTGTATAATCAGGAAGGCCACTATAACATGACCACGGGACAGTTCAGCTGCACCAACCCTGGTGTGTACAATTTTGGCTTTGACATCGGACTGTTTCAGAGTTCTGTGAAGATAAGTCTCATGAAGAATGGTATCCAGATCAGAGAGAAACAAGCCCAAGCCAATGACGGCTACAGATATGCAACAGGGACTGTCATTGTGGCCCTGGAGAAGGGGGACAAAGTCTGGCTGGAATCCAAGCTGAGTGGAACAGAATCTGAAAAAGGAATCACTCAGATGATGTTCTTTGGGTATTTGCTTTATAGAAATTAAGTTGGCTTGAGCTTCTCCATCCCTCTTGTCAGTCCTATTTCACACACTGCTCATCATGGAATGAGGGAAAGTCTATAAAAACTCAAAAGTTCTCAGTTGAAAAAATAAAATTTAACACGCATCCAAGAAATGTGGAAATGATAAATATAGTTTGCAAATAGCATGATCCCCACCACTGTAGCAGACCCTGATGGGGTGGGGGTGGGGTCTTTCAAGAAGTGAGAGAAAAGGATGTAGGAGTCCAGTGAATGGATTATGGGGAAGAAGTTCCCACAGAATCTTCCAGAAGCAAGAGCCTTGCTCTGTCCCAGCTCCTTGCTCTCCCCAGGTTTACTAAGGATTATCAGGTGAAATGAGTTTCCCTGCAGACCTGGGAAAGTCCTTTGAACTCTAACGAAAATGTGAATGCTTAACATCAGTTCCTTCCCTGGGAGGATATTTTGATGGATGGATGGGAAGAGGACTGCGAGTATGGTTAGAGGAGGGTGTGTACCATCGCTTACTGTCAAGGACTGGATTGTGCACCCCCCCTCCAAATCCCTGTGCAGAAGCCCCAGCCCCTAAGGCTAACTGTATCTGGATGTAAGGTCTCGGGAAGATTAAGGTTAAATGAGGTCATAAGAACGAGGCCCTGTGTTAGTCAGCTTTTCATTATCGTGATCTAAACACCCAACAAGAACAACTCGGAGGAGGGATGATTTATCTTGGCTGGTGGTTTCAGAGGATTTAGTCGGTGGTTACTGACTCTGAGGCAGACACATCATGGAAGAACATAGAGCAGAGAAAGCTGTCAGCTCATGGCAGCTGGGAAACAGAGAGAGAAAGAAAGGGACTGGGAAGAAGATAAACCCTGGAAGGGGACCCCTACCCCCACCACCCCAGTGATCTGCTTCCTCAACTAGACCCCACCTCCCCGTAGTCCATTCAGCTGTCTGTGTTGGCCGATGACATCAGTTCGCACAACCCCGTCATTGTCTAAAGGCCCCACCTCTGGACCTTGCTGTGTTCAAGGCCAGGCTTCCAATGCGTGCGCTTATGGGGACATGCCAGATTCAAAGTGGCCTTATAAAAAGAAGACTTGGGTGGACACAACAAGAAGGAAGCCATCATCAAGCCAGAAGGAAAGACTTCCCCAAGAACCAAATTGATCAGCACCTGAATCTTGGGCTTCCCAGCCTCCAAAATTATAATAAATTTCTGTTGTGTCAACCACCCAGTTGATATGATATTTTTTTTGATGGCCATAGCCAACCAACACAGCCTTCAAACCTTGCCAATGACGTAGCTGGTTTCCATTTTACCATTATCCCTTGCTTTTTTACTGAGACCACTTCAACTTAGTTTGGGGTAGCATTGAGCCCAATTAAAATACCCAGCCCCCCACTTCAGCCCCATTCTCTCCTGGGGACAGGGGCAGTCATGTGGCACCCTGCTGACAACAAAGGCTATTGGGAAGTCTCATCCAGGGGACTCAGTTGGGCTGATTCTTTGACTCTCAGCTTCGTCCTTTGTCCTTCCCTGGTCTGCAGATAATAACAACAGGAGTGGCACCAATCATGTCTTGATCATGAGAACTAAAGCCCAATGCTAAAGAGCTTTATTTTTAAACCATGAAACATGAAAGCCGCACATAAATACCAGTACAATATAAAGAATAAAATTAACATCTGTTTATCTAACATTCAGATCAATTAGCTGAAATTTCATTATATACCCAAAGTATCTTTTGTCCCCTGCCTGAAAGATGATTGAGCATGAGCACAGAGACAACCTGGCTTTTTAATGACCTCTTTGAACAGCTTTTCCAGCCCTGGATTTCCACCTTCAGACATGATTTTGGTTAGTTTTCCACTATTATGGAAAAATGCTGGAGCTAATTGCCTTAAAAGGAACAAAAGGATTTTTTTTTTTTTTTTTTTTTTTTTGCGCATGGTTTCAGAGGTTCAGTCCACAGTTGGGTGGCTCTGGGCCTGAGGCAGAACATAATGGTGGGGAACACAAGGTGGACCAAAGCCACTTCCTATTTGGTGGCCAGGAAACAAAGAGACAGGGAGGGACCAGAGTTCCATATCCCCTTCTAAGGCATAGCCCCATGGCCTCACCCTTTCCACTAGGCCCCATATTCTGAAGCTTCACACCTCCCAATAGCACCACAAGCTGGCAACCAAACATTTAGTACATTGGCTTTTCTCCCCTGCTCTCCAAGGCTTATGTCCAACTCCTAATGAAAAATGTATTTTGGGGGTCTCTCTCCAAGAGACCCCCAAACCTTCACCATTCCAGCAATGCTCCCAGGTTCATATCTGAAGTCTTCTCTGAGTCTCAAAGCAGACTCTTAGCTGTCAGCCTCTGTGAAAATCACATCTATCTAATATTCAAACAGCAGGTTATATACTTCCAGATACAATGGTACATTCCCACTTCAAGTGGGAATAATAGAAAATAACGAGGGACTGGATCAAAGCAAGATTGAAAGCCAGCAGGTCATACATTAAATTCTGTAGTCCCCTATCCAGCAGGGGTGGGGGGTGGGTACCTGATGGCAGGATGTGGGCCCAGGGAATGAACAGCTCCCTATGGTTTTGATGTAACTCTTCCCATATTTTACTTATTTGTTGTTTTTATGCAGTGCTGAGGATGGAACCCAGCGCCTCACACGTGCTAGATGAGTGCTCTACCACTGAGCCACGGCCCCAGCCTCACCTCACAACTCTTATGTTCAGCATGACCCCAGGCCCCACCCGTGAGAGCTGAGCCGCAGCCTGCGTAGACCATGGCTGTAGCAGACTGTGAGTGCCTTTCCACCTGTAGCTGGGACAAGAATCTCAGGGAAACAACTCCAGGTGGCCCTGCGGCAACACAGTTCTTTGGGGCTCTCTTCCCCAAAGAAACTCTGTGAAACAAGTTGACACCTTTCTACCACTAGGCTGGGATGGGTGAGGTCCTGCTGGTTTCTGAGATGCCTTCGAGGCGTCTTTCTTACTGTCCTGGTGTAAAGTACTTGGCTTCTTCTAATGGTGCCAATCCCTTTAGCAACTGTACCCTCCTTGGCAGCACCTTTAATTGTGCTCCTTTTTCAGCCAACTGCAGATTTTCCAAATTTTTTCACTCTGTTTCTTTTTGCTCCTGATTTTCATGATAAATTTGGCTGAAATCATCCAGTCATACCCATGCTGCTGCTAAATGCTCTGCTGCCTTGAAATTTCCTCTGCCAGACAGACAGTCCTCCCACATAGTAACAGGGCATGGGTGTAATGCAGCCAAATTCTTTTAAACAGTATAAAAATGACAGCATGGTGTCCGATTCCCAGTGGCATCCTTATTACCATCTGAAACCTCATGAACAGAATTTTTACTGTCTGCATTTCTATCAGCATCTGGTCTTCTGATCTCTCACCAGAATTTCCCATTAAGTCCTATTTATAACATTCTAGGGTTTCTCTAGTCTGCTCTTCCAGATTTTTCAAAACTCCTCCCACATAACTAGTTCCAAAGGCTCCTCCACACACTTCAGGCATCATCACAGCAACAACACACTTCTTGGTGCCAATTTTCTGTGTTAGTCAGCTTTCCATTACTGTAACAAAATACCTGAGGTAATCAACTTAAAAGAGAAAGTTTTGGGGGGCTCACAGTTTTGGAAGCTTTAGTCCATAGTTAGTTAGTTGACCTATTGTTTTGGGACTATGTTGAGGCAGTGCATCATGGTAGGAGTACATGGTGGAGCAGAGCTACTTACCTCACGGCAGCTGAGAAGCAAGGAGAGAGACAGAGGAGAAGCCAGGGTCCCAATACCTTCTTCAAGGGCACACTTGAAATTGCCTAACTATTCCACTAGGGCACACCCCCTAAGTGTTTCACCACCTACCTCATCACCTTGAATTGGGACTAAGCCTCTCACACATGGACTTTTGGGGGACATTGAAAATCCAAACTATCGCAGTCTCCCTGAGAAATAACCTTGCAACACTGCCAAAAGTTTATACAGTTAATATCTCTCCCAGCATTTCAAAGGAACCTGTGGCCTTTTAACAATATGATTATGCTGTCCAAAAGGGAAGTAATCAGACTGTTAGTGGATTACTTAACTCTCTCTCTAAACCAGCACTAATTCCAGGATGCCCAGAATATCACTGTGGTCCCCCCAGTCAAAGTCAGAAATTATGGAGACCAGATAATCAAGTTTAAGCCCAGGTCCTATTTACAGTGGGTCCAGTGGAGTCCCAATCCAATCATGCAATTATTTCCTCAGTTCTGGAAAGCACAATTGGAATAAACATATGAGAAAATTGTAGGATCCCTATATGGGTTCCCTGACCTATGAATCACAGGCCTCTATTGTAGGAAAGGTCAAAAGGAAGCCATTACAACTGCTTGTACCTAGGAAAACAGTAAACCAAAGGCAATACGACACTCCTGGGAAGAATTTTAGGGCATAGCGCCACCTTCAAGGACTTGAAAGATGCAGAAGGGTTGCTTCCCACCACATCCCATTCAAATATCTACTTGACCTGTGCAGAAGAAAGATGGATCTTAGAGAGTGACAATGGGTTATTGTAAGTTACCCAGGTAGCGACTCCCATTGCAGCTATTATATTAGATGTGGCTTCATTCTTGAGTGCATGAACCTATCTTCTGGTATTGATCTGGACGATGACTTGTTCTTCATCCATGCCTACTAGAAGCAGTTAGCCTTCAGCTGGTGAGGACAGCTCACTCCCTCTCCTATCTCGGGGGTATGTGAACTCTCAGGCCCTACATCATAGTTCAGTTCACAGATATTTTAATCATCTTTTCCCATAAGCTGTGGCCCTGGCCTATTATACTGATGGCTGTACTTATTCACTTTGGCTGCCATAACAAAATAACACAGACTTGTTAACTTGTTAATGCCACAGAAATTTGTTTTCTCACTGTCCTGGAGGCTAAAAGTCCATGATCAAGGTGCAAGTAAATTTGTTTCTGATGAGGGTTCTCTTCCTGTTTCCAGATGTCTGCCTTCTCTGTCCTCACATGACTTTTCTTCAGTGTGTTCATACAAAGACAGGGAGTAATAGCTTGTTTTTTTCTTATAAATACATTAATTCTATGAGATAGAGCCCCATATTAATCTGAATTACTTCTATAAAG